CTTGCATCCAGGCCTCTCCTCGCTGGCCCACTTCTTCTTCTGAGGCCTATTCTGCAGCCAGGCCTATATTTCTCAGTTACAGGGCTTTCCAGAAGTCCTGTGCAGCCAAGAATCGAGCTATGGATTCAATCCGTAGCTCAGTTCTGCAAGACCTCAGCAGCCGAGGACCAAGCTATGGATTGAATCCATAGTTCGGTACTCGGTTGTTTAGGCTTTCTGGAAAGACTTAACTGCAAAATGCAGGCCCGAATGCAGCTGCAGAACTTTGGCCCCAGAAGAAATGGACCGGCTGGTGGGGCTGTAGGTGCCGGGGGTGACGTAAGACCTGGTGCCTCTTTTGGAGGCAAAAAAAAAAAAGACCCGGTCTTATTTTCGGGGAAACACAGTACAACTACTCAACTCAAGAGTGAAAGTTTGGCAGCTACGTGCCTATATCATGCCATGTATTCAATAAACCAGTGAGTTTTTCAGCAATGAAAGTAATCCTGGATTTTATTTGGATATTCGAGCTGTAAGTTGACAACTACACTCTTTCATTAGGCTACATTATGCATATAGAACCTTACCTCTAGTTAATGTGGTTTGCATTTCAGAGAATTTTTGCTACAAATAGTTCTTTGATCCTATGATTGCTGCTCATATTTATTATTAGAGTAAGCTAGTCTTCCTGGTAGTTAAATATATCAATACACATGTAGTACTTATGGATAGTATAAATAATCCATTTGGGGATTGTTTAATTAGTCAAAATAGGATAGAAACAGTGTAAGTAAAAACACAGTTCACCATGTTTTTTTTTAAAGTAATCTTTTATTTAAACTTAAAATTATTTTTCTTAGATTGGTCAGAACGTTGTACCACAACTTATCAGAAAGATGGAGCTTGGATGTCTTTCACACAGATTGTATCTTGTTCTCCTTGGGTGCTATATGTTTTCACACTCATAATTTTTCACACTTTATGGGCTGTGTTATGGCTAATCCTTCAGATTTACCAGGTACACTTTTTATATATATTTCTTTAAAGCATTGCATTGAGTGTTATTTACTCAATAGCCTACACTGTATCACTTTTAATTAATATTTCAGAATTACTAATTTTGTGCATATTTAATCATGATGCCGATGAATTGGTAATGGTCAGGATTGCATCAGTAAATGAAGAGGTCACATGGAATGGGCTTAAAAGACAGGAAGAAAAATTGCTTCCAAAACAACAAATAGGCGGAACTTGAACTGTTCCAAGAAACTCATTTGAGAAAATAAAGTAGGGCTGGAGGAAGAGCATTCAGATTAAAAGATTTGGTTAGTATAGTTACAATAAGAGTAGTCCTGCCCTATATGTAAATTGGTTTCTTAGTTTAGTCTACTAAATAGGTCTGACTGTAAATCAGAGAATATGTTTTCCATTTGCTATTTAGGATTTTACTAGGGATGTCTACCACAAAGTGGCCAAGTCTTTCTGATCAACCATAGCCATGTCCATTACATTTCTTAATGTTCTTAGTTTTGTTTGTGTGTAGGTAAAACAAAAAAGGGAATAATATTCTTCCTTAATATATCAGTTTGACACAGTTTATCCTCAGAGGGGAAACTTTACAAAATATCCTCTTGAAATGATTGCTTGTTCCTAACAGCACCATTTCTAGATTTAGGATTTTTCTGCTATAGATAAATTAATGTTGTATGGTTCAACTGTCAGTTTAATTCTAATATGTGGCAAAGACTTGCTCCTGAGAAAAGCATGTCCTCATGAAGGAACTTCATCTATCTGTATCTATCTTGTGATCAAGCTTCCAAAAATATGGTATGAAGAATTTATCCTGTCCTGTGTAGCATTTAACTCTCAACTGAAAACTGCTTTGTTGGGCAGCTATGTCTAATTTTTCTATGTTAAAACTTCTAAGACAGTGATGGCAAACCTTTTAAAGACCGAGTGCCCAAAAACCACTCCCTGCCCCCGCTCCACCTCCCGCCCTGCCCACCCGCCCGCCGGGACATGCACCACCTCCATGGCCTGCCGCAGATCACCCAGGCAGCCCTGCAGCGCCATGGCAGCCACGCCCTCCGTCTGCACCCTCTAGTAGCAGCATCTGCACGCTATGAAGTGTGAGGGTGGAGTTTTGTCCCTGCTGCCCGGCTATGTCCTTGGCTGCACTGCTCTGTGCGGGCCGTGCCCGGGGGCGACTCTCCTCCAGGGGGGCTGATGGTGAGGAGGGGACTGTGGCAGGAGGCGGGGCTGGGGTGACAGTGCGTGCCCACAGAGGGCTCCAAGTGCCACCTCTGGCACGTGTGCCATAGGTTCGCCACCACTGTTCTAAGACCTGGGATTAGCTGACTAGGAACATTATGCTGCCTTCTTTATTTGTTCTGCGGCTAATGGAGAGTGGTATTTGGCTATCCAGGATATTCATCTATCTGCTTGTTTTTAGTCAACAAGTATATATTGAGAAAAGCTTCTGTAGCTTTTACATATGTCACAATGTAAAACAATTAGGCTGCTTTCTTTCTCCCCCACCCCTCATATATTCTATTATAGAAGGTAAAACAATACAGAAATAGCAGAATAGTATGAATTTTCATTGACAGAGTAGAATTCTACCTGTGTTGGTTTTTTGCATAGAATTTACATAGAACTATGCCAGTATTTTTCAATTTCAGCAACTTCAAGATGTGTGCACTTCAACTGGCATAGTAGACAGTTGCACTTCAACTGGCATAGAATTCCCAGCTGGCATAGTAGACCTATGACTACTGTATTCTACTGAGATACAATTGCCAAGAATTCACCCACTATGTAATTTCTTTCTTTTAAAAACAAAAAGGATGTCTTTTTGCACAAAACTGATTATTAAAGTCAATTCTCAAAGTAATTTTATATGTAGGATATATATTTACTCTGCCAAGAACTAATAGATAAACATAAATTTTGGTAACCACAGTGGTTTTTTTTCTAAAAACCAAAGTTGAAAACAAAACAAAACAAATGCATTAATTTTGCTACCAAGGTATTAATGATTTAATGGAATAATTTGTCATTAGGATAAAGAGAAATAAATAATGCAAGGTTTATTCACACACACACACACACCCATACACATAAAAACATTTATTTATATATACATTTAAACATGTGTCCATATGTCTGTGGGGCTATATATGTTTGTGCGTATGTGTAAATAAATATCAGGACATGAAAATACCCCAAAAGCCATTTCTGTCAGCTTATTTTGGATTTTGAATTAGAGCCTAGCTTAGAGAAATTTCTTGTCCCAATACAATTGCAGTGCATTGTCACTGAAGAATGAATTGCATTATATAGTCTTTCAGATACAGTCTTCAATTTATTTATATTTTTGACTTTTATTAACAGATTGATTTATTAGTGTTGTTCCTCTGTTTTTTCATTTATCAGTGCATTGTTCTTTTGCTTATTTAAAAAGGAAAAAAATTGTTTCAAGTACTTTTGACCTTTTATTTTGTCAATATATTATTAATATATTAATTGGCATTCAAGTAGTCTTTTCCTTTTTAACTCTTTCATTTTCAGATTGCATTCCTCGGATTGACTTCACATGAAAGGACTACACTCCGGAAGCAGAGTAAATATTCCAAACATCCTATTTCACTTAGGAAGACTCCATATAAGTAAGTCATTTTGGAAAGTATCAGTAAAAGCATCCCATTCAATAACCGTTTTTGCTTGAAGTAATCATAGTTGTTAAAGTTGGTTTGCTTAAAAAAATAAACTGCTTTAAAATATGCAACCACCACCATTAAACCCAATAAAAAGCTGTTGTATAACTTACACATCAATAATAAAATGCTCAGGGCAATTGTTTGCAGACTGAGTTTAAGATATTCTGTGTATGTAGAGGAGAATGAGGCAACATCTTTACAGAATTAGCAGATTATTCAGTCGTAAAAAGATAATTGGTGTGCCTACACTTCCTTAATGCATGGAACCCTAGTCACTCTGTTACATGTCACATGTTCTTCTGTTTTCAACCAAAATGCAGATTTGGAAGGAATGTGATGGAATATCACATCTTCCCAGACTAATATCACACAGATTCCCAGGAGGGAGGGGCTGCCTTCCAGAGGACCAAGAGACACACAGTTTAGAAATTCTGTGAGTTCAGTGTCAGAATAGAAAGGTATCTCTCTTTAAAAAATAAAAAAAAAGCATTTTCAGTGCTTTGGAACTCAAAACCTATTTCTACTTTGTTTCATAATTTCACAAAACTGCTTATTGAGAAAAAGATGTTCTGTAAAATATTGTAAATAGGAAATTCACTTTTTGTCATGGCATTGTTAGGAAATCACCAAGCCACAAGTGTTTTCTCAAATTCCAAGTGTGCCACTGATCCAAACAATGGGGAATGACAAGTATACATTAGTATACAAATTCTAACAAGCACCTTACTTGCTTGAAAGCCATTCATTTGTAAACTTATCAATAGTTCTTGGATACTTCCATGATATTGATAAACTGCCAGCATAAAATGTTTTTTTTATATAATATGAAGGTTACTTTCCGTCTGTGTGACTTTTCTTTCTTTTTTAGTCTTGGATTCTTCCAGAACATTGCAGACTTCTTTCAGTGTAGATGCTTTGGGATTCTCAAGCCCAACATGATTGATTGGACTAAGCAGTACACTTTAATATTTAATTTGGCAAAAGATCGACACATTCATCCAGTGTGAAGGCGAAAATCTGCAATTGACTGCATGGAATTTACTGGATGTTTTCAAAAGAGATATTTAGAATATTGTAAAGTATATTACGAATTATTTTGTTATTTGCTATGGGTCTGATGGCTATTTCAGAAAAAAAAAATAAAGTTTACATGGTTAAACTGAAGCAAACTGGAAATGCGATGGCAGCCATGGCTCATGTATAATACCTTCAAATACTTGGATTTGGAACAAATACAGTTGTGAAATGCTAAACTTCCTCAGCTTGCAGAAAAGATTATTTTTAAATAAAGCAAGAAAATCTATCTATGATTCATTTATTTTCAGCCTTCAAAATTTACACTCGGTAAAGAAAATAAAGATGGTTTGAAATATCAAAATATGCTATTACAGGAAACCTAATTTATAATTCATAGCAAGTTATTATACTTCTCTGTTGATGTATAGCTATGCAGTGCTTAGATCAAATCCCTCAAAGTGGCTTGTGATCAACCGTAGGAAAAAATGTGGCTGCTTTATAAAGTATTGCAGTCAGGTGCTATGTTGGCAATCTCATGGTCTTTGAAGCACCTTTTGGAAATTGTATCCAAAGCACTGCATAGCCCTAACCTACATTAAGCCTGTTTAGATTTGACATATTTATGCTCACATTTCAGTTAAAACTTTAATGCATTACTGGCTTTAAATATTTAAAGGAAAATATAACAGTCACTGACACTGAACAATACATGCAGTAATGTCATACTTTTTTTTGAGTTGACCTAATGCATATAAAAACAGATAAAATAGATTGATTGTGAAGCTTTCTGATAGGTGTGACTATTGCACAACAAGTTTTTTGGTAAATTTGACATGCAGTGCAAGTCTGGTGCATGCTGATGTTCATGCCAGAGTGGAACAGAATAAAAGTTACCTCAGATAAATGCAGATTAAAACTGTATTTTTGATTGAGTGCAAAGTTTAAGTAAAATTACAATAAGAGTACTGTGTTAAAGTAATTTGAGAAATGATGAATGAAATATTTGTCTTAGTGCTCACAATTTAATTACACTTCTATCTTTTATGCAGCACAGCACATTTATAAGTAGTGCTGGTCTTCAGTAAAATATGCTTAAAGATGGAATAACCAATCAGCTTTTCCCAAAAAAGACAACAAAGTTTTGAGAGGATTAAAATTAAAAAATAATATAGAGATTATACTTGCTGGTAGACTTGCCTATATTTCATGTTCCATCTTCACTTGGTTGATCTTTCATATGATGTATGATAAAGAATAGGAATTGAGTTTTGCTTAATTAGCACAACTCTAAAAATAATAGTGTCAGCATTGTCTGTGCAATTATCTTGATAAAATAACCAGAATTTTGATTCAAAAATTATTTATGAATAATCCACATCTTAATGTTCTGGAGTGCTCTTGTTCAGGAATGAAATGCTGTTTTTCAAAAATGATTTCCCACAACATTATAACCACTGTGTAAGAAATTAAACCTTTCATTGTTACTTATTTAGATAGGCCTAAATGAGATCTTAGCATGGCATCTTATTCCACCTTCTCAACTTGAGTGAGGCCACCAAATCCAATTCCTTTAGGGCCAAAATTCTTTGCGTAGCAAACTGTAAAACAAAGTAATGACAGATTTAGCTATTCTCATAAACATGTCAACATAAAATACTGTCTAATCTTTCATAAATCCAACTTTTCTATAAAGCTTTGGGAAAGGTACCATGTTAAAATGATACATATAACCCAAATAACTCCATATTGCTCCTTTATTTACCCCTTGTTTCCATTTAGTCACTTCCCTACTTGACTAGGAACTGGTTTAGACTTTATTATTTCTTATTTATAGTAAAAGTGCAGCAATTTAAAGCAGTCATAATAACTTAGTACAACATTTTACATGCAGACAGGGCCACCAGATCTGCTCTACAAAAATGTATTGTAGATGACCACAGGAAGACAGCAGACTTGAGAAACTCTAGCTTGCTTCTACCTGATTTTTAATAGCTTTACTTTAAAAAAACAACTTCAACAAATCAAATGTTTATCACACATGGAGCTTCATGGGTTGACTACAACGTGATAATTATTTCATTTTTTGCTAGCATGATTACTAGAATGACCAAAGGCTTGTCTGCTGTGATACATCATACCACACTGTGATTTGCTTCACCATTATTTCTTGATCAGACCAGATTTGGTTGGATTCACACAACAAAATAAGCCATAAACAAGGCACTGCCCTTTTTCAACTCATAATGAGGATCAAGCTAATACTGGAAACATTACATTGCTTAAGGAGCATGGAGAAAGGTACAGTACTGAGATGGAGGAAAAAAGATAAAAAAATTAATGAGGGAGAAGTTGGATATGTATCTGCTGTTTTTACTCAGGGTTTTTTTTAGGGCAGTAAAATTCTTTGAAAATTTGAATATAATTTCAAACAACTAGCATTTTTTCCAATTTTTTTTGTTACAAGCAAAAAACGTGAAATTAAAAATTAGTTTTTTTGTTTGTTTGTTTTTGTCTTCAAGTCAGTGCTGACTCCTGGTGACTAGTCCCTTCAGTTTTCTTGGCAAGAATTTGGAAGGGTTCTTGCCTCCTTCCTGGGGCTGAGAGTAGTGAATGCCCCAAGGTCACACAATTGGCTTTGAGCCTAAGACAGAACTAGAACTCATGGTCCTCCAGTTTCTAGCCTGATGTCTTAATCACTTCACCAGACTTGCTCTCCATTGAATTTGGGATGAAAATGATGAATCTGTCACTGATGTGTGGATGTATCCTTCATCGTGATCTTTGAAAGAATCAAGTTTTATTTGATACTTCTTTGAAAATCTTTTTGGGTCTAAATCCAACATGTAAAGCCTAAGTCTGCATGCTAATACAACATACATACAACACTTGCCTTTACAATAAATCTCTCCATCTTTGTCTGTAACATTTGTAGATTCTAGACTTTTTCCACAAATAGCACATCGGAAGCAGGTCTTGTGCCAAGGCTGAAACCAAAGACAAAAAATTAACTCACATAAAGTATTTGCACAGCAAGGTTTATATCTGGCAGTCCATCGATAGATTAAGAGAAAGATTATCTGGCCTTAAATTACCTTTCACAAGCTAATCTGGACTTCAGACAGTACATTTATGCTGAATAGACATGAAAATCATAGTAATAATAATAATAAATAATTATTGTTGCCTCATACAGATCAGAACTGGACTATCAACTGCAAAATCTTGTCATTTTAAAATGTGGAATAAATAAGACAGATGTGTCTTTCGGCAGCATAATCCTTGACATATCAATTTATGGCTTCCCTTTAGTTGTATAGGCTTGGAATATTAATCTGGTATCTAATGTACATGTGAGAATATGAAGCAATTAACTCTTTGTTAATTATTCTTGGGTTGTGATAACTTTCAGCTAAAGTGTTTTAATAGTGTCTTGTGTATTGTGATAATATATTTCATAGATTTCTTACCTTTCCTCCTCCTATTATCTTCTCTGCAGCATACACTGACTTTCCACAACGAGGACATTTTTCTACATCTCCAAACTTTTTGGCAAATTTTGAAGGGTTGGTAGGGGTAGAAGGACGACCTGGTTTTGGTGAGCTGGTGGCAAGAAAGTTTAGCATGTATTAACTTTTTTGTCTCAGAGATCAACTAAATTTTGGAATATCTTACCTAACAATGTATCAAATGAGAGAGGGAGGGAGGGAAGATTTATACTTTTAATAGAGCCAATCAATATCAGCAACGTAACACGAAAACTATATATTCTGAAAAATTTATTTAAACCACAATTGCTGATTTCATGCTGACCATAGTTCATAGCAGAATCTTCATGCTCAGCATGAAGTAAAAGAGGAAGATCTATTCCTCTGAGAAATCCTGATAAGCATGAAGAGTAATAGAAATATAAAAGTAACAATTCTTAATGGCTAGAAAGGCATGGGCAACAAAATCACAAAGAGTGCTGTTTTGAAGAATAATAAATGTATTGTGATACAGATTTTTGTAGGTTCTGTCAATGAACCATAGTTACAGATTTAACACAGATAAAATGTAAAGGAGTTAGAGACATCAAAGATACCTGGTGAAATAAAAGAGAGAAACTATAATAAGGATAATGTCACAGTACCATGTAGTATTATGGTTATTGCAGATTACAAAACAAACGATGATTAAACCTTCAGATTTGCCATTTTGATAAAAAAAATAGTGATAAACATCCACAGCTTTGTCTATTTATTGTAATTCTATAGTTGTGTAATTCACACAGTGTTGTTTAGTCTGTGTCAAGGCTAAACAGCAGGAGGAACAATACACTGTTGTAGTACATGGCAATCTTTTTAAGCCTTTTCCAACCCCATTCCACCCACCAAATATTGTCCTAAATTCCTTTCCTGAGATAGCCTACACTCTCCTTGTCTTTTGCATTTTTCATTGCTTAGAGTCCTCGATGTTCTCTGAGTTAAGAACTATTCTCTGAGCTCAGCTCAACCCTGAGCTACATATATTGTCTCCCATTGATATCATTGCTTAGACTTTAAAAAAATGCAATATAGAAATCTGAATATCCTTGCACAAATGTTTTTGGAGCAGATGATTTTAGATTAACCTGATCTCCTAAACAGAATCCAATGCAAGAAATTATTGCCAGAGGTTCCATATTTGAATTCTGTTGTGTCTTCCATCCCCTCTCTCCCCAATCCAGTTACAGTAGGGAAGGTTTTTCTGACTGGACTACTCCAATTGATCTCTTAGAATCTGTATTTAGACAGCACACATACATACATGAAAAGAACCAAGGCTGTTAAAAGTAAAGACCAATTCTTTAAGAAGAACTGCCCTGCTTGCTAAATATTCCTGATCCCTCTCATTTGTAAATAAAAAGAATCATGGACCAAAAACATATTGGACCCTATGCTCTGGAATGCCTTGCCCTTACAAGCGCCTTCCATATTAAGTTCCCACAAACTGGTAAAAATCATTTTCTTTAAACATATTCAAGGTGAGGGGTCCTTGGTACTCTCTGAAAGTGGTTGTTAGCTTGCTAGCAATGATGATATTAACTAATTTGGGTAATGAAATATCTGCAAGAAAACAGCCAAGCTCAGAGGGTACCAAGGACCCTTCATTTCAACCCTGAGCTACAAATATTCTCTTTAATGAGACATTCAAAGTGTAAATGGTTGATGTATGGTGTAGAATTTGTAATGTGTATTAGCTTTACTGCCAGGAGTAATACCAAACTAAGCAGTAAAAAGATCCTGGAAAACAAACAATTGAACAAAGAAACAATGGAATGTGTGGATCACATCTATAAATGCACATTGCTTTGTGGGTTGTAAGTTTTTCCAATGAAGGAGTAGGCACCAAAGGAGTCCCATATTAAGATACGAGGACAATTCAGAAATAAACCTCTGTGTTATCAATGACAGACACTCACAGATACAGAACTTTTATTATACACATTAGAAAACTACAACATTACATTACTTTTCGACATAATCACCATTCAAATTAAGGCACTTGTCATAATGTCTTACAAGCTTTGAAATCCCTTAGTAGTTGTTGCTCAGCGCCAAATCTGGGCTATGGGGAGTTAATCAAAAACATCCCAACAGAACTGCTTCAAAAGTTCTTGGGTGCGTCTAACGGTGTGCAGGTGAGCATTATCATGAACCAACACCACACCGGAAGTGGTGCCATAGAAAATCCTGCCAAATGTGAAGATTTGTGAAGTTCATGGAGCATGGTTTGACCATCAGTTCAGAAGTCTACTGTGAAATGTTATGAAAACTCAGATGAACCATCCATAACAAGCATCAGGGCATGCTGACTTCCGATAATGCTTGCCTGCACACTGCTAGACGCACCCATGAACTCCATGAAAGACTGAGTGTCAAGGGGCACCATTTGTATTGTAAAAGTTAAATGACTGAAAGAAAGGACAAAAGTTAGTTTTTGAAAAATAACTAAATATAAAGGAGGGCTTCTGGAAATAAAGGATTGTAATTTATAATTAATAAGGTCACTGTACCCTAGAGGGAAAGTTATTAGTAAATTGTACTGGGACTGCTATAAGAATGAGGGAAAGTTCAGAATAATCTGACAGGACAAAGAAATCGGGGAAATTTATTGTGGGGAAAATTTAAAGAGGGGGCTTATTTAATTCAAATTTAAATTTGATTTATACAAAGTAAAGGTGGGTAGTAATCAAATAAATAAATAATAATAATATTCCATTCATTGTGTAATTACCATTAATGCAATATTCAGCTATGTGATACCATGCAGAGCTCCTAGAGGTCAGGAGAGCTTGGCCTCCAGTTCAGAGAGCTAACATTTAGATTCTACTTATTTTTTTTACAAAATTTTAAAATGTGTGTAAATAAGACTTCATTTCCTGGTGCCATGTAAAAGAAGTATTCTTTCTGTGTGGTAGCACAATTGCCCAATAGAATATGTAATCGTCGTAATGTAATACTCCTGAAGGACTACGTCTCGTTAAAATGGTTTTAGGAAAATAGATTGTATCAATTAAAGAAAAACATCCAGAAAACTATTTCTCTAGCATGTAGTTATGGAAACTGAGCGACATGACTGGATGCAACCACAGCTATAATTATAAAACAACCCAGAATTTCACTTACTGCTGCTGTAGATCCAACCCCAGATGATCTCCTGTGTCCGTGCTGAGACAACCAGCGCCTTGCCCATAGCCAATCCCTTTGGGACCATATTTCCTCCCATAACATGTTTTGCAGTAGATTTCAGATTCATGAGCCGCTACTGTTGTGCTGTCCAGAGCTTTTCGGCAACCCACTGAGAAAGAAAGATGAAAACACACATTATGGTCCTGAACTGCAAACAGAGGCACCTGCATTTTACTGTTCTGCATTGTAGGTTGTTTGAAAATGAGAATACTAAAAGTTTCCTAATAATCAAAGCCAATAGAAACTAGTTGCATCTACTGTTAGAGAAATGAGAAGTAGTCATGGGTCCAGAAAACTAGGATAGAAAACAAGTGTCTGTTTTCCTCACCATCAAATCCCACAAGAAGGGTAACATACAAAGGCAGAATAAAAGCTAGAATTTATTGATGGCGACAAGGACAGCAAGCTTTGAGTTCAGAAAGTCTTAAGGTCTCTTTCTGGAAAGCTGGTCCTTGAGTGCTCTGTTGCAACTTCAAGCCATGCCTAGCTGCACATAAATTTATAACTAAAGTAGCACTACAGAAATGCTAATAAATCTCTAGTGATACTTTTCTCCAAAGGAAACCAAATCTGGGTGCCCACTGGACCCGGATCTTCTACAAAGCTCAGGCAAATTAAGTTTGTGTCACAATATTTGAGAACATTTCCCCAGTGAAAATGCATTTTGAGGAAGTGTGGTATTATAATGAAGATTATGCATTGGACAGCTTCTCTTTCATATCCCTCTCCAGCCACAAACCATGTTTGTCTACCCAGCTTTGAAGTGAAGGTCACAAAGAATGCCGACCTTATAAAACACCATTACAAAGTTCCCTAAGATTATGTGAAGTGCTTTGAATACTTATAGATCCTTTGAAGTCTAATGCAAATTAAGCTTTATTTGTATTTTGGCAATGTATATTCACAGGCTATGTCTGGGTCACAATTGTAGGAAAGTAATGCTTTTCTGAATTCCGCCACTACCCCCATGCAACAAAAATAAAGATTTATTCTGACTATATTGCAATAATATTGCTAGCTATATGACTATAAACATTATTTGCTTAAGAAATTAACAAAGGCCATTGCAAAGGTTTCATACTTATCCTAAGGACAGAAAGGCAGATGTTACAAATAAATTTTCTCCAGTGCATTAAGATTGCAAATAAAAGTTGATTATTGAAGTAAATAGGAACAGATAAAATTGAGTCCTCTAAAGAAATAATGTTCTGTGATTTTGTGAATTTCCTCCTTGACTATTTTGCATTCTCATCTGGGAAGAAAAGATAATGATGTTTGCTCTGTGAATTGTTAAAGGATGGCTCCAGCAGCAGATAAAGTGCTTCTATTTCTGGTCTCTTTGGAATAGAGGGTCTATGCTGCAACAGATGGCCCCAAAGCCTTGCTGGCTGAGAAGACTCATGTGTCAGAAAGTAGGTTGAAGTTGACAAATTGTGATTGAGCCATACAGGCACCACAGATGCCCTTTAAGTCAAAACTGACGGACAAATCAGAGGTGTTAATGACAGCAAGTCACATCATAAGGGGTGGATTTTTCCCCCCCACACAGGAGAGGCTGTGTTTTCTGCCAGCATTGTTCCACAAAATTAATGACTAAAGGCAATTTATTATTTATATGACTTTCCTACTAATTATACATCAAGCTGTGTGAACACCACAAAATCATATAACGATTTAAAGAACAAACTAGCTCACAAACATTTGCTACAGGAATTAATGTAAACATATAATGCAACCAACCAAGCAGCAACAACATTGATGCCTTTTATACAGAAATGTGGTTTATTAAGTTTAATAAGAAATTAACTCCCAGATAACTGGGATGCAGCTGCAGTCTAAAACGCTCTACAATAAAGCCTAATGTTGCACATTAAAAACCATTGTATAAAAAACTTATTTTCTCATTTCTTGTAAACAGAGAGAAAGGGATGCTTTCTACTGTAGCTTTCAGTTGTCAACTCAGAGGAGAAGGTATTAAGGAAAGAAATCAGATTTCCATTGGGTGTGAACAATAGATAAACCTTTTTTTTTTTTTTTGAGAAAATCAATTACTGATCAGGGACTTAAGAGACAGGAAGCATTTCCTAATGTTTCATCATAAATCAACTCTCTTGTACTTTAAAACCATTATTCCTTGTTGTTGCCACTAGGATGTCAGTTTCAATTGTATGAAAGGAGAAGTTGTGTTGAACATTAACGAAAATGCCCACTTTTCAAGAAAGATTGGAAAGAATACAGTACAGGTTCTGCTCCCCTACCATTAGCCCTTCTTAGGCTTGCTAAATTATTCTTTTATCAATTCTGCCCTGTTCTCCAATTGATTTGATACTCATTTTTATTTCTTATGCAACATATGGATTCACATAATATCTGTCAGTGTTGATTATTCAATCTCCTTATTCTCCTTCACTCCTGCAGTCTCCAAAAACACTGATCAATTTTTCAATAGTCAAAACCTACTCTTAACATGGATACAGACATTTAATTAATTATCAGACCCATGAATGAAAAGAACATTTATTTTCTATCAGTGTAATATACAATCTTGCTTGTGGCAAGACATGCATTGGTCTTTAAAATGAGGACGACCGGGACAAAAACCATATTAATGGTATTGAAAATCGAAATTAAATACATGTAAGATGTTTATATCCATGCATCTAATAATATTTGTAAGCTGCCGCAAGACAGCTCTAGGCAAGATGGGCAGCATATAAGTGAATAAATAAATATTTGTTTGTCATATTAAAATTAGTGTTTGATGTAAATTTTCAGAGAAGCTCTGGAGGACTCATCCCAGATCTTAGATAGTTACAGTGTAGAGCTTCTAGCTGACTAGAAGTAGTGAATACAAGCTTGTTTTTCCCAGAGTGAATCTTTATGTTATCCAACATGGCAATATTCATAAACAAAACAGAGATGTCAGCAGATAGAAGGCACTGGAAGTATGCCGGTTTAACTATCACATATATGTCACACATTTCCCCCCCAGAGGATTTTAAGCAAAGAGTTGCTAATCAAACCTTCTGGGAAATCATACCGGTAGCAATGGATGTTCTATATTAGTGGAGAATTGGACCAGAGTACCTTGAAGGCTCTTTCCCATGCTACAGTTGGATTCACACATTATGTTATGTCATAATATTGCTTCATTTTTTTAAATTTACTTTCTATTTGCTTATTTAATTATTTTTATTCAATTTCTGTAGATATCCATCTCAATCAATGACTCTGAGCCAATTAATTCTGGCTTGTTGTATGGTCCTAAAAATAGTGGTTAATAAAGGGATTTATAGTTAATTTTATGCAAGATCACCTATTATGGCTTATTTAACAAATCATAATCCTTCCGATGTCAGTACAATGAAGACCCAGATTGTTGAGGGCTATCAAGCTCTATGAAGCGGTATATAAGTCTAAGTTCTATTGCTATTGCTAATATTATGACTTAATGCTCTATGAGTTAATCCACTTGCTTGACGTTATGGCTCTATAAAAGATTTTCTCTCAAGCATTATAAAATAGGTTTCTGAAAACTTTATAAGAACCAAGGATTGATTTATTATTTATTAATTCATGAATATGGCATTTGAATACAATAATTATTTTTAGCTGTTGTTTTGGTAGGCAGAAATAAAGAATATTAACTATTGTTTCAGGAATCACAATGATGAATAACAATCTACAACTATCTGGTGAAAGAAGAAACATAGATGAACTTACTGCATAGGAAACAGGTCTTATGAAAACTCCGTCCATTACACTGAATTTCCTCAGCATGGTAGACTGTTTTGTCACATGCACCACATTTGGCTCCACCTCCCCAATTTGGCATCCTTGAAATTGTCAGTTGGCTTGAGTTGTCACCTTTAAATCCAAAAATACATAAAGCATAATTAGAAGAAATTAGTCCTCCAGCGTGCTATACTAAAACATTTTAACATGATGCTACACGAGCTATCCAGCTGTGTCATAATTGAACTCTCAGTTGGGACTACCCTATCTGCACTGCAAACATTCAGACAACCATTAGATGATGGAGAAAAATAATTTTCTCTCTGTCTTTGCTGCAGTCAAGCTATGGCATGCCTAGGATGGTTCCTGTAAAAATATAGGCCTTGACTCTGGTTTGGTTGACAAATTTAAATTATGGGAATTGAGATGCATCACAAGTGCAGGAATCTCCCAAATTTATGGCCTTTTATGAAGAGCCAAGTCTGAAAAGTAAAAAGTGGATGAAAGATAGCTGATAAAAATCCTCAAGGATTGTGAAAGTTACCAAACATGTGACAGGTTCTGCCCACCATCTTGCAGTAGAAGCCCTTCCTTCCTGGGTGCCACCATCCCATATATCAATCCTTATGCCCCTTGGAACGATCATTCCAGGGAATTGTGGGAATGTGTTCTGGAACACAGAAGAACTGGGGGTTGGGAAATCCTTATCACTTTTTTGATAGTAGAAAAAAAGGCATATAAGACAATAATCAAGAACAGAGCATTGTTAGTACTTTGAACTTAGAGCCATTGTGAAAAACTTGTGCATTTGCTATCTGAAACAAATTTAAAATGGTTTCATCTCCCTTTCTAGAAGCATGATACCCAAGGTTATTTTGGCACCTATGGCAGGAGAATCCCACTGACATCTCTCTTGACCATTCCTGGCAACAAAACCAGAAGCAATGATAAATAAAACTATAATTCTCAGAAGGACTCCCAAACTCTGTTCCATTCTGTAGTGCACTTCAACTTCAATCCAAAAGGGATCTATAGAGATCTTCCAGTTAAGCCTTTAATAATAAATTGCATGGAGCAAAATGTAGCATCTTCTACAAAGCCGCCTTTCATGATATAAGAATCTCCTTGAGTTCTCAACCTAATCATCAGGTGTTATCTCTTTTGTTGCTCCAATTACTGTCAGCACTGTGGGGTTTTCATACTTAACCGAAACAGCATTTTTTCCTACTGAGTTTATCCTTTTGCCGAGTGGATCTTCTTTAGAAGGATCAAGCTACTCAAAACATCTAGGAAATATTCTTATGCTGAGCAATAACTAGCTGTGTCCCATTTTAATTAAATTACCATGAAAGCATTTTCCTTCTGAAAAGGAAATACTTATTTCAGTTTAAGAGAAGGAAAAAGCATTTGCTTTCCCTTCAAATATCAATGATTTTTTTTTTCATCATGTGCATTTAATAAAAATAAGAATAAGCTCAAGAATAACAAAATGAGGGCAAGGATGCTCATGTTGCAGCTTAGGATTGCTCTCCCTTAACACAACATTTGGCTTTATTCTCTGCTGCTATATATTTAAAGTGTGACTCTTTTCTTTCTTTAGCTCAGTGTCTCCTCTCTTATTTCCCTGTGCTATTTTGTTTTAGCTCAGTTGTGTTGTTGCTCAGCAACCAAAGTTAAAAAGAAATCCCTCTCATGCTCCCAGGTTACCCTGACTTGTTAAAAAAGCAGGGTGTAGTAATAATGCATTGCAGGGGCACATCCTTTCAGATTCCACAAATGAATGTGTAAATTTCCTCCCTTTGAAAATGTGAGCTTTGCAATGTGGTACGACAAAAGTTTAGCCTTGGCATTCAAAGCTTGTTCACACAAGAAACTAAGAATGGCATCACAGATTTTAGAAAGCAAATGTTGCCTGTCCTAGAAACATAGCAGCACAAAAGAGGAGTTGCTATGAACAGCTGTGGAAAGCAGATACAGTATGCAAAGAAAGAGTTGGGCTGGATCTGGATCTGACTTAAAACGGTTAATAAATTGTCGTTCAGTAATAGTTCTGATAAGCTGTCTATCTTTGTGCTCAAGGTTCTTGGCCCAAATATTTCATATTAGAATTTCTGAGCATGATAATGTACGTGCTTTAATTATCGCCTATCAAAAGAGTCTCCTATCTCATCAAATGTTTGTTGTCAGAGATTAAAAGTCTAAGAGGTTGGAGGTGGATCAAAAGGGAGAAGAATGCAAAAGAGATAAAAGGATGAGGTGAGGGGAATATATTTAACTTGGCTGCACTTGCTGTGTGTAGAACTGAGAATAAGAAAGCAATGGGCTTAAGACAATGCTTTATCGTTTGAATCAATTTGAAATTATTTTTGTTGCATTACTCTTTCCTTTCCTTCTTTTTAGTAATAATTCCAAGGGCAGCAACACATTTATGAAGGAAATGCAGCATTCTCAACTTCTTAAAGCAAATAGGTTAGGGATCATACTTGGAATGCCCGTCTAGACTCTTATCTGCAGATGAAGAAGCCACAACTTCTGTAGAAAAGTCTATTCCAATATTGTACAGATTTTGCAGTTGTGACATTTTTTTATTACGCTAACTTGACGTTTTCTCTGAAAATCACAATTGTATATCATTAATTAAACATCCATATTCACTTAATCATCTGAAAACCATCAAGCTTTTCCAATTAGGTTAGCCTTTTAATAAAGTCCAACATGACAGCTTGGTATATTCAGTCATCTTCTATCCCCAGAGCTCCTGTTGTCTGCTGTTTTGCTTTTATTACTTCATTTTTTTGAGCACACCATCAGTGACAAAGGTGAGATGGAACAAATCTTTCCTTTTATTCTAGACTCTGGGCACTTCAGTAGTTTGAGCCAAATAAAATTAGAAAATGTCATTCAGTTCAAAGAGGTATCCACTTTTCCTCTCACCATGGTATGAAATATGATTAATATGCTACAGAATTTCCAAATTGCACAAAAAAGGAGCTGAAAAAATAACTTTGACCATTACTAACATATAGGAAGCTAACAGCATACCCAAACATCAACAGTATTAACTCTAGTTAAGATACTATGGCTATACTCTGGTTCCAGATTTTAAATTTTGGTGTCCCATCCTGTTTGGGAGAAATACAAATAAACTCAAATGCTATTTGAATGGTCATCCATGTTGCATCCCAAATGTTCCATGATTCATTGGAGGAAAAAGGTGATCCAATGCTCTTCGCCTCCGCTTTTCTAAGTTAGGTGAGTGATACTGTCAGTAAATCCACACAGAAAAAAATTCCGTGGGACAATAATGATGTCAGCTGGTAGGCTGCAGCAAGCAAATATAACATTCAAAATATAGCAGTGACCTTTTCCTTGCCCTTTATTTCAAATGTACCACAGAAAGGAGCTGCATTGCTCATACTGCTTTCTTGATGTCTTGGTGAGTCATATTTTCTAGCCTTAGTCTGTTACATTATGATCAGTTGGGTTACTCTGAACTTCTGGCTCAGTCCATCTTTTAACCCTCTTGGCAAGCCAATCACTTTCTTATTATAGCTTTCCCCTCAGAGATAGCTTATCTAACTGACACTGCGCCAAAACACTATTAAGATTTTTTTTTTTAACCAAGTCCAAGATGTCAGAAATTGCATTGAGATTCACCGAGCACTTTGCTCTTTAAAATTGCCATCTTGATGTCACAGGAAAAGGGAGCTAGAGAGAAAAGTATTATGCCTAATACAAAAATGAGTTACATTACCAGTTTCCTGAGGCAGTTAAACACAAGTCATGGAAATAACCACATATTATTTTCCTGTATTTACCTGTGTTAAATTTTGGCACAGGGTTTGTTCAGTCAAATATGTGTGTACCTTACTTTGTCATAATCAACATTACTTTTACCTGACAATACTTGGCAATCTATTTTTCCCAACTACCTACAGAATATATGACGATGGTCAGTTCAATCAGTTCATTTACACATGGGTCAATAAAATTAAAAGTAAATCTCTTTCTCTCTTCACATCTGGGTTGTACCCGCTGCTCTAATCTGCCAAGAATGTGGAAAAAAAACTTTGGGCTATAGAAAACACTTGTGGTTCCAAGGGTACATCTGTATCAAAAATCACCCCCAACCTGCAAGCCTGAATTTGGTGGGAGGAATGTAGCCCCTTACCATATAGGGCTAGCAGAACACAACTCAACCAAAGGAAAAAAAACATGCAAGAACCTAAAGATCATGGAAGCAACCCTGCATATTAAATATCATCTCCATACACAAAAACCTTTTCCCCATAATAGCTAGACACTATCTGTTGATTAAAATTCTGCCTATTATAGAGAAAATAAAAGAACTGTTCTACGTAATAAAAGTGAATGGAGAAATACATTCCTCTTAATCTGTCCTGCAATAAACTTTTGATTTTGTTCAGTAAGCTTACTCAGGGATTTGTAACCTTGAAACTGGAGTATCTTTATGGGTTTGTCTAAAAGCTTCATAGGAGAATCCAAGCATTCAATTGATTTCAGTGGAATATAATTCAAGGCATATACCTTTGATTTTTCTTCCTCAGAAAAAGTTGCGATGACTACAAATAGAATTCAGTGTTTCACAACACAATGGCACTTTTTATGATCACAGGAGAGCTGTTTTCCCAGAATGGCAGTAGCTGCAAGATTTTTTAGAGATTTTTCATCTTCTCTTACTTCAGAGATGCACAAAAACTACCTGAAGCTTGCATTTGGGCTTCCAGCATCTCTTTGGCAGATTTCACAGTGGAACAAGATCAGTATTTTTAGTTGCTGTTATTTTGCTTTAGTGGGTTAACTTTTAGATTTTTTTTTAAAAAAAGATAAAATATGATAACATAGCCTTGTTATTTTTTATTGTGAGTACACTGGCACACATTAAAATGAAATTCTGTTGCCTGCTCCCAAAAGAAAGTATATATATATAACATACATATACCCATGCTATACACATACATATCTATATCTATACCTATACCTATATATACATATATTCAGAGATAAAACTAAAAATTCGACTCTTGGGAATATTCATAGTACCAAAATAACGATCACCAAGAGAGCATCCATAAAAATATAGAATTTAATACACCAAGCTGTCGTCAAATACACTTGACATCGTCAGGGTTAAAAGGCAATCAGCATTTGCCTTTTAACCCTGACGATGTCAAGTGTATTTGACGAAAGCTTGGTGGGAGAAAGGAATCTTTTGCCTGTATCAGCTCAAACTAGAGCCATCCACAGGCTTAGCAGTCGCAACTGCGACATCATATGTGTTTTTCAAAATTTGGATTGCTAACGAATTTAGGGAGAACTGGAATAGCCATTTCGAACTTTTTAGTTCTTTTCAACCAGACATACCCTTCTGAGATTCGAACCATCTGCCTAACATGCAGACAGCCCAGGTTCGAATCTCAGAAGGGTATGTCTGGTTGAAAAGAACTAAAAAGTTCGAAATGGCTATTCCAGTTCTCCCTTAATTCTTTGTTAGCAATCCAAATTTTGAAACACACACACACACACATATAAAAATCACTGTCCATTTTGAATAAATAGCGAAAAGAGGAAACTTTAAAAATCCTGCCTTTATTATTTTTATAGATAACTCAAGGTGGTGAACAAGCCTAATACAGAATAACAGAGTTGGAAGGGACCTTGGAGGTCTTATAGTCTAACCTCTTATTTAAGCAGGAGACACTATACTGTTCCAGGCAAATGACTATCTAATCTCATCTTAAAGACCACCAATGGAGCACTCACAACTTCTGAAGGCAAGCTGCTTCACTAGTTAATTGTTCTGTCAGAAAATTTCTCCTTAGTTCTAGGCTGGATGTCTCTTTGATAAGTTTCCATCCATTACGTCTGGTCCTGCCTTCAGGTGCGTTGATCCCTTTTTTGTGATAGCCTCTTAAATATTAGAAGACTGCTATGATGTCACCCCCTAGTCTTCTCTTTGTTAGACTAAACATTCCCAGTTCCTGCAACCATTCATTCGTTTTAGTGTCCAATCTTCTTTCCTCCTCTTGTTTTCCCCACAACAGCCCTGGGAGGAAAGTTGGACTGCAAGAGAGGAACCAGCCCAAACCTCCAGTCAGGTTTCATGCCTAAGGCAGGACAAGAATTCATAGTCTCTTGGTTTCTAGCCTAGTGCTTTAAACACTAGACCAAACTAATTGAGTTGTCCTGGTTTTTACTGATTGTGAAAATATACTGCTCAAAAAACATAAAGGGAACATTTTACCATGGAACTGAAGGGGTTTGCGTTCCCTTTATTTTTGTGAGCAGTATATATTCTATTCATTAAAAGAATCCCAGCCTTCAGTCTTAAATGAACTTACTAGCAAGACAGCTCCACTACACTAGTTTTTTTGAGAGGTTGGGAGAGTGGTGGAAATGTAAATTCCAAATTTTCAGATTTGGCAAAAAATAATTGCAACAGTAGTAAACAAATTCTAGCAATCCATTTCTCCCCTCACTAAACCACCCTCACTAAACAATAGCAGACAGTACCCCTTAATTTTTCTCAGCAATACTTACAAGAAGGAAATGTACGTATTTTCTTGTCTTCTTTATCTTTTTGAAGAGACCAAGCCAAGATCCAGCTGACTTTAAATATTTTCCAGGAGAGGCGGGCTGTGTAAGTTGGGACAGGGGTATGTGAGCAATGTTACTGCTATCAGGTAGCTTAAAATAACTTGTGACAANATATATATATATATATATATATATATATATATATATATATATATATATATATATATATATATATATATATATATATATATATATATATATTAATCACTGTCCATTTTGAATAAATAGTGGAAAGAGGAAACTTTAAAAATCCTGCCTTTATTATTTTATAGATAACTCAAGGTGGTGAACAAGAAAAGGACCTTGGAGGTCTTATAGTCTAACCTCTTATTTAAGCAGGAGACACTATACTGTTCCAGACAAATGACTATCTAATCTCATCTTAAAGACCACCAATGGAGCACTCACAACTTCTGAAGGCAAGCTGCTTCACTAGTTAATTGTTCTATCAGAAAATTTCTCCTTAGTTCTAGGCTGGATGTCTCTTTGATAAGTTTCCATCCATTACGTCCTGTCCTGCCTTCAGGTGCGTTGATTCCTTTTTTGTGATAGCCTCTTAAATATTAGAAGACTGCTATCATGTCACCTCCTAGTCTTCTCTTTGTTAGACTAGACATTCCCAGTTCCTGCAACCATTCATTCGTTTTAATGTCCAATCTTCTTTCTTCCTCTTGTTTTCCCCACAACAGCCCTGGGAGGAAAGTTGGACTGCAAGAGAGGAACCAGCCCAAAACTCCACAGTCAGGTTTCATGCCTAAGGCAGGACAAGAATTCACACTCTCTTGCCTGGTGCTTTAAACACTAGACCAAACTAGTTGAGTTGTCCTGGTTTTTACTGATTATGAAAATATATTCTATTCATTAAAAGAATCCCAGACTTCAGTCTTAAATGAACTTACTAGCAAGGCAGCTCCACTACACTAGTTTTTTTGAGGGGTTGGGAGGGTGGTGGAAATGTAAATTCCAAATTTTCAGATTTGGCAAAAAATAATTGCAACAGTAGTAAACAAATTCTAGCAATCCATTTCTCCCCTCACTAAACCACCCTCACTAAACAATAGCAGAGAGTACCCCTTAATTTTTCTCAGCAATACTTACAAGAAGGAAATGTACGTATTTTCTTGTCTTCTTTATCTTTTTGAAGAGACCAAGCCAAGATCCAGCTGACTTTAAATATTTTCCAGGAGAGGCGGGCTGTGTAAGTTGGGACAGGGGTATGTGAGCAATGTTACTGCTATCAGGTAGCTTAAAATAACTTGTGACAAAGCCTTGAACATCGGTTATGAGCAAGTAACAGAACAATGTGGGCCCCTCATATTACAGTCAATGCTTCCAACTGCAGTTGTCTAGACAAAAAGAAACCAAATGAATCAATAGGACCCAAGGCCTGTGCTGGGTTGTATCGATTATAACTGAGTTCTTAAAAATAAAATGCAACTCAGTTACAGACAGACCACTCAGCTATGGAAAATGTGGGTTGCATAGGAACTGAAACTATGGTATACTATCGTTATATGAAGACCTTGTAGAAACCTGTCACCCAGCCTCCCCCAACTGAATAGAACAAAAAAACTGTTATCACCTTGATCATTTTTTACACCCAGAGATGATGCTCATCATACCACATACTGTTGTCACTTTTCTGCTTAATCAAAGGCTATGGAGGGTGAGGGCGGGGGTTGTTTTCCATTTGTTTCTTCTTGGAGACAAAGTTAAAAAAAAAAAGAGAACCTATGTAGAGTTAGCATAAATGTTTATTACAATTACATTAAAACAGGTGAGGCAACCTAATACCCTTTAATTCCCATCAGCTCTAGCCAGCGTGACAAAGTGTGAGGCAAGTACAAAACATCTGGAAAACACCATCTTGCCTACCAATGAAATAAATTAAGCCTAAACTAAATGTAGTACAAATGAAGGTGAATGTACGTGTCCCAGGATAATGTTGCAGGATCCAATCTGGGTTGGTCACCGGGACCGAGTTTTTTGACTCGTGCTGGAGCCCATCTTCAGGGAACTTCTCTTTAGCCCTTCACTCTAGGACCCAGAGTGGTTCCTAAAAGTAGTAGTTTATTGAATGATTAGTCCTGCAACCTTATCAATAAAATAATATATAGTACGTAGTCCAATTCCAAAATAAAATGGATAGTTCAGTGAGCTATTAAGAATCATCTGCAGGGATATTTGAATAGTTAGGAATAATCATTAAGTCTCCCTTAGTTCATATTTACTCATGTTGACTACCATGCTAGGAACAATGAAAGAAGACAGATATTGTCAAACATAGGAAATCAGTTTAAACAAATAGATTTATTGCATGTTAAAGCTCGCTTCAAGAATCTGAACTACTAATGTTCAAAGCAAAATGGCAGTAAATAAGTCAATGGAGTTTAAGGCAGGCTGGACGTAGATCTCTTGTGGGCACGAAGTGCCTTGAGACTGATAACACGCTTGACCCCCTCCCCCAGGCTCAGATTGGTCATCTACAGATATTCAAAGAGAATGACACTAGCCTTGATCATATTGGTTATATATTGCCTGTAGAAGTGATCTAACTACCAACTGCTAGGGAATTCAAGTGAGAGGGTTAATGTCTTTTCGCGGCCTCCCCATAAACAGAATATTATATCTGATAGACTTATTAAGGATCATGCATCTATTCTTTTCTTATAAATGTATGTTTAAAGGTAATTTTAGTGCAATAATGTCATATATATCTACTCCAAAACAAGCCCATTGAGTTCCTAAACCCAAATACGAAAAAGTGCAGCAAAGAATAGCAATCATACAACTATGTACAATTAAGTTATAATTTAAGAAACTCAAAAGATGTCTAGTGATATATAAAAGACTTCTTTAAAATGTTTTATTCATCTAGGAATATGTGAGTATGTGACAATTTTCCATATATTTTTCAAACTTGTATTTAACTGCATCAGCTATAACATTTCAGCTGGCAAACATGCACTGTGCAAGTGATCAATATATTACAGCAAGGTTCACCAGAATGCTATTACATACATCTTTTTCCCAAGTAAAATAGATAAGTACCTAAATAATGTCATCTATACTATAGTCCTAAGTAGAAATACAGACTGACTTTAAAAAATGATAGAAAGTGCCAGATGCAGTTGAGTTAATCAAACATGCAGACTACACATACCATACAAATGATTGAAAGAAGCATATCAAAAATGACTTAATCAGAGCCAGAAATGACTTCATCAGTCACAAGATCATATAGCTTCACAAAAAAACTCAACCAAAGTAGATAACTAATAATGTTACTTGCATGATAGGCAGCAGGATATAAATCAAGACTGAAGTACATACTGTATTTCAAAAGTCATACAATACCAATAGGGAAGCAATTGCAGGTGCATTTCTGTTTAGGAGCCAGAACCAGAATAGTAACTTTCAAGGAAATACTTTTTGATTTGTAGCTGGTTTTACAGCAATATAACAACAAACAGCAATTACTGTATTTTTTTCCTATTCACAATAAAGATAATTTGCAGGAGTTAAAGAAGCAAGATATTTCATGAAATAAAACAGAGAAATAATTTATAAAGCTATTGCATACTGTTGACTTCCAACTACTTAAAACATGTTGAAAAAAAGCCCAAAGGTTAACCAATCATCCATAGAGTTGTCCCAAACCACCCCTGACTACCCAAACCCTAGAGATTTCGGGCTGAACTTACAATATTTGTACCTAGAAACAAAATTTGGGGAATATTACAACAAACAAGACATAAGATATTGATTATGAAATCATATGAATATTTATCACAGAAACTTAAAAAAATCAATTCCAATCATTAATTTAAAATAGATTAAATAAACATTAAATTATATATTGCATTTAATTTACATTGACATGATAAAATATCAGACTTACAATGAAGAATTACTGTGGCATTTAGAACTAGAGCTTCTATATTGTTAAAAACAGTCTAGGCTTGGTACTTGGAATGTACGCTTTGTGTATTATTAGCTTTATATTTCATAAAGTTATAATTAGATAGCCAATGAAATTCTAAATGACTTTTTAAAAAATATTGATGAATGATATCCTTCATTCAAAAAAAGAGTAGTTCAATTAATGACTGTAGATAAAAGTAAGACAAAATCCAGCATGGGAAAAAAAACGATCCCTATGCCTAAAAATAATTTCAAAGAACAATTTTAATGTAACAGAAACAAAGTATTGCAATTATATTTGTTGCAGGTGGGGATACAGCATTTTCTTTGAGAAAATGTATGTTCTGTTGATCCACAAAATTTTCTTTAGAATTAGCAATGTTTTGGGGAAAATTCCTTCTGATTCACAAGAGGATCAATGAGAGCCAGGATCTAGGCTTCGATCACTTGATGTTTCATTGCCTTTCTTAGAATCTTTGAATGTCATAGGAACACTTGTCTAGATGAAAGGGGAAAAAAATAATGTTATTTGCAAGCTAACCAGCTAAAGAAACTTAAGTTTTTTAGCATGAATTAGACAAGAGACATATTTAGTTTATTATTGTTAGTATGCAGATAATTCTACCTGGGACCTGATGGCACACAATTAATCAGCATGCTGCTATATCTTTACTTTTCACCACAGATGTAGAATTTTTAAACAATTTCTTGGATACATACATGCTAATATTTGGGCCAAACGAAATGCTCTGGATAGGTAACAACAGGCTTGGAAGGACTTACAATTGAAGAACCAATGTCACAGCTACCAGTTCCGCTAGATATCAAGTTGTCTAAGGTAGGGGTCCCCAACCTCCGGGTCACAGCCCACTATCGGTTTGCTGCCCATTCGGAACCAGGCCAGAGAAGTGGCGTGCGAGCATGCGCATGCAAGCTCCACTTGCACGTGGGTGAGCATGCGCACAGTTCCATTTGCCAGCTGCTTGTGCAAATGGTGCTGCAGCATAGGCACTCGCCAGTTGCTCACACGGAACCGTTCCCTCTCATCTTCCCTCCGCTGGTCTGCAAAGCCAGAAAGGTTGGAGATGCTGGTCTAGAGTGTCTAAGTATTATCTGTGTCTAATCACCTTTGCCTCTTTGTGAAAAGCTTAGAATTATGGTCTGCAAGTCATGCACTGATGCCATACAGATTAGATATTGCAAAGGATTTTATGCAGAGCTGCTTTTAAGGACAGTTGATAAATTTAAGTTGGATCAGAATGCAGCCAGTTGGATGCATGTTCTGGCCAAGCATTAGTAGTAAAATGATCAGTTATTTTATCAATTGCATTAGGCTGCAATTTCTAGGATCAATGCTAGCTCACTGAAAGAAAAAGCTTCAGGTAAGCTCCAGAATTGGAAAGTTTTGTGGAAGTCTCTCCTAGATTGGTCTAGCAACTTTATGTTACTGCAAGGGAATAAATGCCCTTCAGAAGAATGTTTAGTCTTATACACACTACAACTTAATAAAAGGAAAAGCATTAAAAAACTATACACACACCAAGTAATTGGTTGGTTCACTTCCTTCTCCTAAAGTCTCCAATAAAAATGACTATAAAAGTGGTTTTGTTTCTCTTAAAGCTAGTAAAATATTTTCAAATTTGGCAATAGTATAAGGAATATTTTATATTTTTTTCAAATTCCATTATAAAATCAAATATAACTGAATATGAGACAACTTATGGGCTTATACAAAAGTATATATGGGATATTTAGGCACTTTTAAAAAGTATTAGTGTAATGTACAGTATATACTTGTTATCACTGATATACAATGAGAAATATTTATCTAGAGTTCAGATTGCAGTATGTTAGGCTGCTTCTTATTAGAGGCTTAAGCAATGCAAGTACTGTGCAGGCTACCAATTAGAAAAATGCAAAGCATTTGAGAAGAGCAACAAAGATGATTAGGGGACTGGAGGCTAAAGCATATAAGGAACGGTTTCTGGAATTGGGTATGTCTAGTTTAATGAAGAGAAGGACGAGGGGGGACATGATAGCAGTGTTCCAATATCTCAGGGGCTGACACAAAGAAGAGGGAGTCAAGCTATTCTCCAAGGCGCCTGAAGGCAGGACAAGAAGCAGTGGATGGAAATTAATCAAGGAGAGAAGCAACCTAGAACTAAGGAGAAACTTTCTGACAGAACAATTAACCAGTGGAACAACCTGCCTCCAGAAGCGGTGAATGCTCCAACACTGGAAGTTTTTAAGAAGAAACTGGACAGCCATTTGTCCAAAACGGTATAGGGTTACCTGCCTGAGCAGGGGGTTGGACCTGATGATCTCCAAGGTCCCTTCCAACTTTATTACTATTATTACTATTATTATTATTATTATTATTATTATTATTATTATTATTATTATTATTATTATTATTACAATCTTCAGTTTTTCCAATGGTCCTCTTGTTGTTTTTCTTATGATTCTGATGTGTACTTTTTAATCAGATAGTTTTGCTTAGGCAAGTATTTCACATTCTAACAGATGACCAGCCAGTTAAAAGCTCAAGGAATGCTCTAGTATGCACTTCTGTGCCTCTTGGAAAGGATTTGCAGAGCCCCAATTACTTAATATTTTTTAAAAGAATCTTCTTACCTCCTGAGGAGTGGTTGGAACCAATTCTTCATGTAAATCTCGGTAATCCCTTAGTAAGACGTTCTGCGATACAGTCGCTTGCTGCAAACCTACACTTACTGGGACAGGACTAACATGTTCTGCTCCTTGACAGATGAAAGCGGATCGATGTAGGTGATCTGCAGACATCTGTACATTGGCTGGCATCATTCCTAACTGTTGTAGCATAATGTTCAGAACTAAGGTGCTCTGAGGCGGGGTAGGGTTAACCTGGACTGACGCAACAGCACCGTTTCCTGAGGATGTTGTTGCTACAGAAGGTGGTGGTAGCATTAGGTTAAGAGGTGTTATATGAAAAGTAGGGAAATTAGATGTCACTGGAATTTGACCTATAGCAAAGAAGAAAGAGAACACACTATTACAAGGGAACGTACTTTATGCCATGCAACTTGTATTAATACGCAAAAAGAAGTTTAGTTCTGCCAGCCACTGTGAGTTTGGAGAAGGTGGCAATTAAGCATGAAGAAGCAGTGGGCTTAAGAGCTATTGATTAGAGCTGACCCAACCTCTATGCAGCCGGAAGCTTCATATATAAAGTCATTTTATCTAGTTTCATTATTAAATCCCTGTATTCCTTAACCGCTGATAGAAGATGTCAAAATGAATTAACTTTGAATAATCCTGTGGCGTGGTCAACATATACTTACCTAGATTGGAAGAACTGTAGGATTTCTTTTCCACTGAAAAAAACTCTGTTTTCTCCTTACTGGACACAGCAACGTCACTGGGGACTTTGAAATCCTGAGGAAACGTAAGAGAGGTAATAGGACTACAGAACTCATAGTTTCCTGGTTCCTAACCTGGTGCCTTAATCACTAGAGCAAACCAGCTTTCCAACAAGATGTAACCATAGTTTGCATGTAATACGGTATAAAACTAAAGAACAAAAATGGGCCTGTATCTTTGGTTGCCATTATTGCTTTTGTCCTGCACTGATCTTGAAGTTACTTTCATGGTTTAGTATGAAAAGAAAAAAAATCTTTTGAATGAGTATTATTAAACTCCTGAGCCTTTCAGGAGAAGAAGATATAAGTGTATAATGTCTGACAGGAATGTGCCTTTGGTAGAGGAGCTGCAAATCTTGGAGGCATTTTCTGTGCCCTGCTGAGTTGATCATATTTAAAAGTATCTCCCTGCTCCTCCTGTTCACAACTGAGTTTCACTTCTCTGTGTACATGTTTATTTTGCTTAGTTACTGGTGAAATTAAGACTTCCTGATTTACACGAGAAGTTACAGAACCTTGGTGATTTTTATCTTTAACAGACTTACCCTGAAATATATAGG